CGAGCGGCTGCGTGGTGCTCAGTTGCCGACTGAGACTGAGGTTCGACAACCAGCAAGAATTTTATTCCCTTCCCTGTCTTAAGCTTCTTAACAGAACTTCTCCCATTTCAAGTTGACTCCTTTTTGAAGTTGAGCACTGTCACAGAACTTCTTGGGTTTTGCTGTTCCAGTATGAACACTGATTTTATACTGTGGCCATACGTACAGGAAGGTTCTCTGAAATAATTTGAATAACCAGCCACAAACCAATTAAGACCAAGCAATACCTAAACTATTTGTCTTCACACCGCACTCCAACAGGAGTCACCCAATCCCCAGTCTACACTAGAAAGTTCCCCTTTACCATTACATTTCCTGAAATGATATTTCACAGCATTTCTGACCATTCTAAGAACGTTCTACTCGCTATTGAACGGACCAGCTGGTTAATCAAGCTATCTTTTTTTAGTAACGCTAAAACTTCAACTCATATGAACTCTGCATTATTCGCTTACACAGTTATCAGTTTCAAAATAAGCTTCCATTCATACAGGACCACTATTTTACTGGCACAGACTATTCAGTCATTCCTGTTTACATTGTCCTGGGGTTCAAAAGACTGTCTTCTGCCTACCAAATTTCTGAGGTATTGATATACTAGGCATATAATTTAAAGTCAGGCACTCTAGTTCCCTCATCTTATTACAAAAATATTTAGCACGTATGCTAGCAGAGATTCATTTTAATTTTGTATTGTCTGTGCCTCATTTGAATAACCTTATGAGTAGTAACACTATTCATTACTATCTCTTATGTAAGCTTCTACTGCTCCTGACCTATACTTTGCTCAAGGATATAATATTCATATGAATTCTTCCTAGAATATACGTCAATCTAAGTTGTATGTTCTTGTGTACCTTTTGGCATTAATTTTAAACTAAAAGGCAGAAGAAAAAGATTACAGAGAAGTTCAATCATAACTCACAGCTTGGGGGTGTGTGTGTCCCCCGCAATAAAACACACTTCTGTTTCCGATGACTTCCCCAGCTCCAATGAACCTCATCTTCTAAGCCATATAGCAAGACCTTGCCTTGTCCAGAGCATGATCCTAGTAACACTTCAAAAAATACAGGGAAGATGCTAGCCTTCTCTTCCCTACCAACCAGCTTAAGTTTTCCCTCCAGAACCTTTCTCCTGACTCTTCCTTTGTTGCTGGAATCCAGCAACAGTTAAAGTTTCTTGAGGCTTTTACACCTGGATCTCAAAGCTCCATGCTGTCCCCTACAGTATCACATATCCAGCTGTCTCTGTGTCTGAGCTTTCTACAGTGTTCATCCACTCAATACCTTCCAGTATCGCAGAGGAGGCTCTTGGGGTGGAACTGCTATTACAGAGACAGCATTTCTGTATGACACTTCGTAGATTCTCCCCTGTAAGGCGCTCTCATTCTTCTTCTACTGCAGATGCTACCCACCTGGTCTTTTCTGGGATCCTTTTTACTATAGCACATCCAAGTCCTCAAATAGTTCATAGTTCCTGTGACTAAGGTTTCAGATTCTGTATTTATACACTTAGCCATCTGAAGAGCATATTTAATTTTATAACCAAAGATTCCTACTGAAATGACCACCATTCTCACACACTCAGATAGCACCAGGTCACAGAAAGATATATTCACATAAATAAAATTTTTGCATCACTCTCATTTTTGAGAACTTAACGTATTTCTTCCTTGGTGTTAAAGCTGGCTAGGTTGTGCACCTGTAACTTCTATATCCAATATTCTTAGCCAAAAAAGAAACTCATGCAGTTCTGCAGAAGCAGGATTTTTTTTTTAACAGACTTGCATCACAAGTTTTACAGTTGTACTGGCCCACATTTAAGTGGCTGCAGAGCTGAGTTTTGCCCCTCCCCCCCTTTTTTTCTTTTTGACTTTTGCACTTAGCAGACTTCTACTTTTCCATGCATATTACAATTGGTATAGGAAAGGGCCTCTTTACTTGACTTATATTCTGATTTCCATCATCACAGCAATTTATCGATTGGAGTGTTTAACACATGCATATTCTTAAACACTGTAAGTGTTTTTACACTTCATCTGAAATCTAAGTTAGGCCTCACAACCACTTTGTAAACTCAGAGAAGCAGCTATGGACTAGTAAATTCTCATGGACTGGCTGCACAGCTGAAATTTGTTTGTTTTTTTTTTTTTAAATTTAACTTTTTCTGTATGGTAGTTGAGAATCTTCAAGCAGTGCTGTTCTGAACCTGCCAAGTGTCTTAAAAGCCAGGCTACATATGGATCTTTTTCTTTCTTGCTAGGATATATTCTGGCTACAGGAGTTAAGTAGAGAAACAGTACTATGTCCCTAATGAAATGTGCTTTTTCATATGAAAATAGAAGAATTCTACTCAACGTAAATATCTGGTCTTCACTGCCTATGCATGCCATCTGAGAGCAAAGGAGTGAGCACTGAATGGTTGACAAACGTACTATGCAACTACTTCAACACACTCATTTTTCAAGAGTTAACATTTTACCTTTTTATGCAAGTAACATGCTTAATAATAGGAATAATGTCATAGGAAAGTTATAATTTACTCATAGATTTATCACTATTTCAAGTACATTAAAAAAACAGGTACTATACTTAAGTTTTTAAACAAAACAATACTAGAATCCATTATCTCTGGAATGGATCACATTCATTATATTCACGAGTACTCACTTCTCCACCCAGAGTACAGAAACTATTTTTACACCCATCTTCTGTGCTTTTCTCCATGTAGCCAAACGTCCGTCTTTGAAGACTACATGGGTCACATGCTTGTTCAAAGTTTTTGAAACCTGCAGAAGTACACAGAGAGCTCATCTTTAAGTCTGATAATCAGAAAATGCTAATGAAACTACCTAGTGGAGTCTGTTTTTAATGTATAAACCATTAGTGTAAAAACTTATTCTAAACATTATGCCAAGGACTCTTTTGATCTTTTCGTCTTCGCAAGAAGCCTCAAGCAATCAAAACTCAAGTCTCATTAGTCAAGCCAATGCAACTGGCTAAAGTAGCCTTTTGTTTTCAAACTTCTTTTCTCTAAGTTATCATTTTCATCTCCCTACTCTAGCTGTATCACTAATCTTACAACATTTTTGTTTATGTAGCCCAACATAATTTCTTATGCAACACCCAGTACAGAAAGTAGTTGCCACTATCCAAAGAAATGCCAAATTACATTTTTTTATTTAGCAAAGAACTCACAGGCTTAAAGAGTACAGCTAATCTCATCCTTTAAACTAATTCTCATCAATAAAGATCACTTAGTTTTGAGGGAAGGCTGAAGCTACTAAAAAAAAAATTATATGAGAACACTTTAAAAAGTGAGAAATACAGAAAACTTAAGTCAGTACAACAAATATCATACCTGACATTTTCATTGCATTGTACAACTGATCAAATCTTCAGTTATCAGCCTTTACTGACAACTAAGTGATAACGTTTTTAATTCTAGATACTCCATTCTTCACAACCAAAGTTTCCTTTTGTGGAGACTAAACATCCTACACATAAAACTTTTTTCAGTTGTTGTGAATGTTGACATGGTGAGATCAGTAGAATTCATATTTTACAGCAGCATCTTCCCAGCACAGCCAAATGGAAATAGCTGTGTAGCTTTCTGGTGTGCTCTCAATTGCATCACTATACTTGGCTCCCAACATGTTGGATTTACATTTGGCTTTAAGAAAACTACTCAGCTTTTCAAAAAATTTCTAGTGGCAAGCTGATTTATTGCTTCTTGGAAGACAAAAAACCATGATATTTAAGTATCTAGGTATACAGGACCAATGAATCTCTTTCAGAATAAGTTATGACTCCAGATACAATTGCTTACTCGCTTATGCTAGTATCCGGCTCACAGCCCACGTCCTAAGGAGACAGATGCTTGATATAGCTTTGCCTCCAAATTATGGACGAGCACCACCTTAAACCTCCCTCTCACCTCTCCTGTCTCCTCCCTTACCCTGGACGTCCTCTGCTGCTCACCTGACCTTAGCTTGAGATGTCTCAATCAACAATGTAGTGAAAAACTAATTTAGAATTTTCTTTCCTGACAGAGTGAGCCAAGGCAGTTTACTATCATGTGCTCAGCCCAATAAAAGGGAAGGAAGTGTCTGGAATAGTGAAGAGGCAGGACCACCCCTTTTCAGTCATAGCGATCTGCTAAATAGGCCCATCTGTATCATCTACCTATACCCTTCACCATATCCAGCTACTTTTTGATCAACTTGAGGAATTTTGAAGCCTTATGCTTTGTCATATTTTCTGTGAGAAAAGCCTAACATCATCAGAATTCCATAGATCTGATCGTACAGCACAAAAGAACAAGAAATATTTCTTACTCAATTTATTTATGGAGAGTTGCATTTCCTTTCATAATAAAACCAGTTTTTCTACTGTTCTGTCACACTATCTCAGCTAAATTCATACAGAAAGGGAGGCTTTGGGGAGATTAGCAAAACTTCCTAAATTACAGTAAGATAAACCTAAACATGGCCACTTAAAAAGCACGGGGAGTTCATGCAAGTGTTATTTAGAGCATGATGTGGGCTGTAAAAATCTCCATTAACTGGTAATAATGTGTAAGAAGGGAAGATGCCAGTTTGACTTTGGTCTTTGATTGAAATTTCACAGCTGTCAATTAAACATATTTTGCACCTACAAGTCAACTATACTTGATATGGAAAAAATCACTGAGACGTTAGATGTCTCAGATATATTTTTACTAGCACTTTCTGGAGTTGAACCACATTTGTAGGAAAGTGAATGGAAGAATGAAATGTCATGGTCCTTGGGTTAGAAAATATTGTAGTAACAACAGAGCAGCTGCCTACAAGTTAAAGAAAACAAAACAACACAAGGTACATGTAAACTACAGGTTTTCAGCACTTAGATTTGGTTTGCCCACAGCATGTGGCAAGCCCAATACTTCACAACAAATGCATGCTACCATATTAACGTACAAAGAGGTTTATAGATATAGGGAAGCTTTAAATGCATTTCCCATCTGTCAATAATAAGAATTTTAAAGCACATTTGTCTATTCTCAGGTCTGTGATTATCTTCCTTCCTGCACTTTAAAAACTCATACTGTGAAGAAATATACATGACAAGCAGAACAAGCAAGCTGGTTTGTAATTAAGAGCTTTCCTATTCTATATATTCCAAAATAGTTTCCTTACTTTTGCTCCCATATCAAGAAGTTGCTGTTCAAAGGTTTTCGAGTAATTTTCTGTTCTGTTAGATGACCAAACTTCCACAAATGCAGATATATCTGGATCAGAAGAGAAAAAACAACAAACAGCTGATGAAGTATATACTACGGTAAAACTGGTTAAACTGCCTTTCCAACAAAATTTTGCCTTTCTACATATTGTATTTGGTAGCAAGTATAGCTTTTAATAATCAAAGTATCACATGTTAGCAGCAGAATGTTCTTTCTAGAGTATTTCTGTCCCTTAAATTAGTTGTAATGGAACAAACTTAGAAGTTTGCCACTAATTACACAACTTTTCACTTGGTCTATTTAAAACACACTACCAGCTTAACAAGCAATGCAGTATCTTTATGTGACTGCTTACCCTTATCATTGATCACTGCTAATCTTCAGGTTAATAAAAAATTTTTGGACAAGTTGATGTAACACAAATTACAGAATATAATTAAATAAATGTAATGGAATTATTCCTTCCCCAAACCCCCAAAAACTCTGCAGAAATCTTACTTAACCATTTCCAATTGACTTAAAATTCCACCTTATTTATACTGAATCACCCCAAATTGAGTACATATCACAGGGGCTAATACAATTTCATGTCAGCTGCTTACGTAACTTTAGTTATATCGCATTTAAAGTAGCTTCCTTTATGAACCAGATTAATAATCTCTTCAAGGAATGAAGTCAGCCTTGGTTGAGAAGGTCTTTAAACAAACCCAGATGTAATGACATGGAGGGATAAGCAAATCAAACTCATAACAATCCCTTCATTAATTTTACTTAGGACGGGCACTAAAGTGACCTACAGCTCCATCGGCCATACCAATTGCCCATTCTGAATGATGAATCAGGAAAGTTCCAGAAAACTGGAGGAACGCCGGTTCACCAAAAACCAACTTTACACAAACTGCAGGCCAGACAACTCTCAGAACTCATGAATAAAATTGAAAGGGTCACTTTAAAAGGGTCATCCTTGGCAAGCATTGCTTAAGTATCTTAGTTACTACGTATGTCCCTCTGATTCATTATTATGTAGTGTCATCTGTCTTCTTTCTAAATGAAAACCAGAATAACACTCCAACAGTAGTACTTTTATAAAGATTAACATTTTTATAATTGCTAGAAATACTTTTAACATACAAGAGAAATATGGAACATAAAACACCTCCTTAGCCAAACCACAGGGAAAAATCTTATTATCAGTACTATGACTTCAGATATACATGGGAACTTAAGACAACTCTACTCCAATGCGCTTTTAATTGTGTTCATTCTACTACTGGACCAGGGCAGCTTTTGCCAGTTGCTTTTTTCCTTCATTGCTCTATTGTGAAAAATATTGCACTTGCATTCGAAAAAACAATACCTTCCTCTTACATCAAATATTTTAGAACCTTCATAGTTACAATTCTCCCAGAAAAACAGGTTAGAGCATTTCAGTGAAGGTCAAACTAGGAACTTAGAGGAACATTACTTCAAAGCTGCATGCACCTGCAGTAGGATCAAAGGTGTATTTTACAATAATTAGCCAATTTTAGCTAATCAAATATACTGCAACAAAAGACAAGGCTCTTTGTAGTTCTTCTACAGTGGATGGAAAGGAAAATGAGGGAGGGTTTGGAGCTTTTTTGAACTAGAAGAGCTCTGAGTAGAGCTCCGTTCTTGTGAAGGGCAACTCATGCTACAAGATCTCAGAGAAGGCGGTTACAGTGGGGAAAATAAACATCAGAAGGCCACCTAGCGAGGCAGAAATTTAGAAAGGTGTAGAAGAAACCAGACGGGATCAAGCCATGACCGACCAGGACAGGAAGACCGAGCCAGACACCGATGCGTGGCGGCAGAGCGGGGTGGCGGCGGCAGAGGGGGGCGGTGGCGTACCGGGAGCCACCCCAAGGGGCAGTCGTTCCCTCTCCTGGCCGAGGGGCCCTCCTTGTTTCCAGCCCTGCCCACCCCAGCGGCCACACACCCCCACAGGGCCTGCGGCGGGCCACAATCCGCGTCCCACCGGGGCAGGCCGGGGACAGCCCGGCCGCCAGGCCCCGCCGCCTGTTTCGGGAGGATTCGCGATTAGCCGCAGCAGCCCCGCAGCGAAGCCCTCCCAGTTCCACCCCCCTCCCGCGCCCACGGGAAGGCTTCCCACCCGCGGGGGGAGCCACGCCACAC